AGCAGGGATAAAGGCTTGTGTCTGTCCTGCCTTGCCTTTGCCCCCCAGGGAAACTGGGATAAAGGGCTGGAGGGCAGGGGCTGCCCAGACAAACTGGTGAATGGCATCTGCAAGCCCCGGGGAGGGAAAGGGACATTTTCTTGGCAACAAGTTGGCATTAACGCTTTTTTTTTTTTTTCCAAAGGTCCAGGCCAAGAGAAAATCCTCTCCTCTAAGGATGTGTAGACAACACTGATGTGTCCTTCCAGCAGCTTCAGCCCCACCATCCCTACATCCCAATCCCACCTGAGTGCCCCTGCCCAAAACCCATCAGTGCTGGGAGCCACAAAGCACCGTGCTGGAAGGTGCCCACCCCCGAGCACAGCCAACCCTCTCCCAAACTGCTGCTGTGGTTTTCACTGTGTCCATCCTGATCCAGGATTCAAACTCCTGACACCAACACCAGGGAACACGGGCCTGGATGTAGCTGCTCCTGCTCATCTCTGGCTCTAATTATGAATGTGCAGTTTCATTCCTGGCAGTCTAATATGACCAGAGCAGCACCCAGGGAATCTGGGATGAAAGGACAGCCCTGAGGTGGCCACAGCATGAAGTTGTGTGGAGAAAGAGGCATTTACTGCCTCCTAAATCTCCCTCCTGCCCCAGACAGATCCATCCCCCTGTGCCTTAGGGATCTGCTGAGGACTGGGACCATGCCAGGCCAGGAGCTGTCCCAGCAGCACCAGGAGTACATCAGGTGATGCCCTGTGTTTGTCGCCCTGCAGGGATTCACCAGCAGCATGGTGGGGAGGGGGTGGTCGGCACCTCCAGTGGGAATTCCCAGCTCGTCGAGCCCTGCTGGGGACCTGCTGCAGTGGGCTGGGGGTGGGTTGGGGGTGCCAAGGTTAGACAGGCACCAAAGAGCTGGGCAAGAGCTCCTGGATGGCTGCAGGCACCCACAGATGGAAAACACCCGAAAACTGACTCATCTACAGTATTTAGATAAGGTCAAAAGCTTTTCATATGAGCTAGAAATTGCATAATCACACAGTACCTGCACAAGGCGGGAGGTGCCCACTCCAGCTCAGCTCCACGCCCCAATTGGCAGGAAACCTCAGCCTGGCCCTGTCCTTGTCCATGTGCCACCATGTGGGGTTCTCCGTGCAGCCAATCCCCCAAAGCTCTGCGGTTTGGGGTGGGGGAGCCCCGGGTTCAGCCCCGGGCACGGGACGGGAGCGGCACCGGCCCCGCACATCTCCCACCTTTCCTGGGCTCCTCCGGGCTCCTCCACCCGCTCACCTTCGGCCCTTTTTATTTTATTTATTTTATTTCTCCTGCCACATGTCCGCCCTGAGCTGATCCCACCTCGGAGAGCAGCGAGCTGCCTGGAAATGAAAACATTTCCCAGCTGTTCCCCCTGAGCTGAGCGAATCCCGAAGCCAGGATGCAGGCTGCCACCTTTTGGCAGAATGGAAGAGATTTCACATCGTTAATTTCTGCTAATTAAATGTGCAATGAAATACTTTCTGCATTATTACTCAATTATCACGCTTTCAGGCTAGCAAGTAACTCGGTTATCTAAGTTTACATATGATTTATACTTTTTGATCTGGATTTAATGCCAGCAAAATTTATTACCAAATGTATTTTATGTCAAATTTAATCTCTTCCAGGTTTGAGTTTTGGTTTTTTGTTTCCTTGAACCCCAATAACAGGGCCCAGACACAGCAAGGATTAAATAGGAGGTGAGGGGCCATGAAGGGCCCCTGGGCTGGATGCCAGCAGTGCCAATCCCAAATCTCACCAGAAAAAAAGGGGAAAATCGATCTGTGGGTGATTCTAAACAGCTAAAAATAAAGGTAATTTTGAAGAGGAGGTTCCTTGCAGGGCACTGCTGCACCTCACAAGCTGCAGAATGAAGGCTGATGCATTTCCTGAGCTGGCCGTGCCCCATGGATGCTTTACCACGGATGTGCAAACAGCGGATTGAAAAGCAGATCCTCCCAGCAAACGCTTCTGCCCCTGCCACCCCCGGCATCTCAGGATATCAGCAGGAAAACTGGGCAGGAGCTGCTGCCAGCCTGCAGCCCCAGGGCTGCAGGGATGCTGACAGAGGCGGTACCCACCCCAGAGACCTCTGTGTTTGTCAGAACAACCTTTCTGGGCTTACAGAGCATCCCAAAGAGCAGCTGCCAGCTCTCCAGAGAGAAATCTTCGTGCAACAGGAACATCCCGAGTGGGAGGTGTCCCCTTGCTCCCAAGGATGCCTGTCTGGCTTTGGATAACTCTGCCACGTGCTGGCCAAACGCTGTGACAGTGACATCCCAGGGTGTGACTGCTGTGCCCCAGCAGTCCCATATTTATGGGCTACACAGTGCCCATGAGTGCTTAAATAACAGCAGGGTCGAGTCTGATGCCCTGAGGCAGCCCAGGGTGCCCGGGCTCTGTGCCCACCTCTGAGCTCCAGCCCCTGACCCGCTCCTGTGACACCCCAGGGCCCTGCCCCACTCTTTGGTGCCGTTTTGCACCGTGCCACAGGTGAGTGTGTCATTAATCTCTTCCTTTTCTACCCATGGTACATCTTGGAGTTTATTTGGGATGGTTTGGAAGTTAATTAGTTCAGCAAACGACATTAAGGAGGGGAAAGCTGCTGCAGAAGGCTTTGGGCAGGCAGGACAGCCTGGCTGTGGCTGCCTCCATGCCCTGGCAGGCAGAGCAGGCAAGGGGACAGAATTTGTGACATGTGCCAGGCTTCCTGTGGGGTCCCATGCTCGTCTCCATCACTCCGGGCTCCACCCACTCCTGCCAGCCTGGTGGCCGTGCCGTGCCATGCTGTGCCATGCTGTGCCATGCCAGGGACCTCTGCCCAGCAGCTCCCGGCCCTGCCGCCTTTTCCCAGCGACTCCACTTCACGTGTCCATCACAGCACGAGCTCTGTCCCCACGCGGGAGAGCCAAGTGACACCTCCCCTTGTCCCCACACCCCTCCCAAGCCCCTCCAAGCCCTACCTTGGCCTCGTGCCGCCTTCCCCAGGTCGGAGTGTGAGCGGGGCAGTGGCGAGAGCATCCTCGTGGCCACGGCAGGATGCAGCCCCTCCGTGTCCCGCTCAGCTTTTCATCCCCAGGGCTTTGCTTCCCCCTGGATGGATGCTCAAGTCCAAGGCAGAAGCCACCCTTCCCGCTGGTGTCCCCTGCAGGTGATGGGACCCGGGGCGGGGCAGCACCTGGGGAAGGTGGCTCCGGGTTCCCCCGCCGGTTCCAGCCCCGTGGCTTTTATGTCTTTCCGTTCGCTGCTCGCCCCTCCTGCCCTGTGTCTCACTGATCTTCCTTCCTGTCAGAGCAGGGCTGGTTGCTGTGTATGCAAATCGTGCTGAGGGATCCGCCAAAAGCCAGCAGCGTCTGACCCCGGCAGCGGCAGCCGGAGCTGTCCCGCTGGGATGCTCCGTGTGCCGACACTTCCCTGGCTGCGGATGCTTTCTCCGAAAGCCACAAACCCGTCCCCAACAACATCCAGACTACTGGATCCACTTGAAGCAAAACCATGAGCTCACCCTGGCCTGGGAGAGCCAAGGGGTTTTGCTACACAACCCCCTCGCTGGCCAGGAACGCTGGGAATATGCCATGGAAGAGACTGGACTTGCAGCAGCTCTGCCCTTCACTGGGTAGTGAAGAGAAATAATTACAAGAGTGAATTAAAGTTGTGTTTTGAAAGAGTGGAATTAAAGGGTAGGAATAGCCTTCCTTTCCTCGAAAGCCATTCTCCTGCCCTTGTTAAATGCTTCCTGGAATTAGGATTTGTCTCCAAAGAGCCGGATCCCATCCCACCAAGGAGCCAGAGCTATCAGAGCAGCAGGACCGGCGGGATCTTCCCTCCCCAGCTCCGCACGGGCAGCTGGTGTCGGTCATTATTTTCCATTCTTGTTCGACAAAACCCTCATTTTGTAAATGCTATAAAAATTCCACTGGCGTTCAGGCAAATGATGGCTAATGGAGCTCTCGTGGTGGCGAGCTGGTGGGGTCATGGTGGGCTCGTGGCCACTGAACTGTGTTTGGGGAGGAGAGGTGGGGGCAAGCAGCAATCTGGACCTCCAGCCACCACTTTGGGCTGTGCCTCCCCCAGCCTCGCTCTCTGCCCGCCCCAGGCTGTGCCCAGTAAGGGTTAAAACCTTTCCTCTGGGGAGTTTGAGGTCTGTTGGTAATTGGTAATGCTAATATCTCGATCTGGAGGGTGGTTTCAGGAGGAGCTGGCCCCTGGTAAGTCCCAGCAGCCAATCTAGCTAAAATCCCTCACATCCAAAATGACTGTGCAGAAACCCCAGTCAGGGCTGCACCTCCTACTTTCATAATTCATCATTTATCTGAATTAACACATCTGAAATATTTCTTTGCCACTATTACACATCCCTCACACATTTTCTGGGCTGTTTACTGGATTCAACCCCAAATTTCTCAATGTGTTATTTATTAAACTCAGCCTATGGAGTTCCCCGCAGCGTGAGTTTGAGCGCAGCCCCTCTGGAGCTGGCAGGGGAGGTGACAAAAGGCCCAGGGGTGACTCTGTTTGTTGATTCGTGCGGTTGCTCGGGGACGGAGCCTCAGTTCAGACCTGCACAGAGTCACCTGCCTGGGGACAATGCACCTGGGGACAAAGAACGGTCCCAGCTCCAGAGGGAGCAGCAGGACGAGCCTGGGGAACAGACCGGCTTCCACACCAAGGAAACGTGGAAAGACTTTACTAATGTGGGAGGCTCGGGGGTCCCCGGGGAGGAAGGGACACAACCCCCAGGGACCTCCCTGAGGGTAACGCGGTGGCTCTCGGGTTTAAGTGGGATCCCTGAGCAATGAGCAGGCGGCTGGGCCAGGGGATGGGATGGGATGGGATGGGATGGGATGGGATGGGATGGGATGGGATGGGATGGGATGGGATGGGATGGGATGGGATGGGATGGTGGGCGGGGCCTGGGGGGATGGACAGCTGAGCCCCGCCCGGACGGGCTGGACGAGTGCAGCCGGGTGGAGCCGAACACAATCGGATCAGTCCGAACAGACGAACGCACGCAGCTCCAGCCCAGCGGACTAGACCCGAACCGAGCCGAACGCAGCCGGGTGGAACCGACTGGACCCGAACCGAGCCAGGCGGAGCCGATTGAACCCGAACCGAGCCGAGGTGAGGAGCCGTGTGAGGGGAGACGCGCCCGGTGCTCCGGGAGCGGCCATGGTTCCGCTTCCTCCCCGTTCCCTCCCTCCTTCCCTCTCTCCCTCCCGGGACCTGTCCGGGGGCTGACCTCGCTGCTTCTCGCCCTGTCAGAACCCCGGGACCGCCCGCACTGCTCCATGGCCGGGAAGAAGCTGATCGTGGTGTTCGGGGCCACCGGTGAGTGCCCGGGGAGAGGCCCGGGCTGTGCCCGGCGGGGAGGGCGAGGGGCGGAGGCGTCGCTGATGCCCGAGCGGCCGGGAGGGAGGTGAGCGGTGCGGGGAGCGAGCGGGGCTCGGTGCCTGTGGCGGTCGGGGCGCTCCGTCCCGCGGTGCCGGCTCCCCCTGACCGGCTGCTCCTGCAGGGGCCCAGGGGGGCGGCGTGGCCCGGGCGCTGCTGGACGATGGCACCTTCAAGGTGCGCGCCGTGACGAGGAGCCCCGGGAAGAAGGAGGCGGAGGAGCTGAGGAGGAGGGGAGCCGAGCTGGTGAAGGCAGATGTGGACGATGAGGCATCGCTGGAGCGGGCCTTGGCGGGCGCCTACGGTGCCTTTATTGTCACCAACTTCTGGGAACACTGCAGCAAGAAGGAAATCGAGCAGGTATCTGTCCTGACATTAACTGGGACCGTATGTGGGATGATCTGGCAGGGTGGATCATGAGTAGCATCAAAGTGGGGACAGCTCTTGGAGCAGCTGTGGCAGCCCTGATGGTTTGAGTGGCCAGTCCAGAAGACCCTGAGGCCTTACAAACACCAGGTCCTGATTCTTTCAAAGCCAGAAATTGTTCCCTCACAGTTGCATGGCTCTAGGGTCTGGTGCCTTCAGGAAGCTGATAAATTTGTTACGGAGAGCACTTTCCAGGAGCTGGAGTAGCAGGAGTGGGGACACTTGGCTCCTCAGAGCCTTCCCGGGACAGAGCTGGGACTGTCACTGCCTGCAGACCTGTAGCTCTCTGTGCTTGCAGCTTTGGGGCCAAAATCCTGCAGTATCAGAGATCCCAAGGGTGGTGCTCACCCCGGGGCAGATATTGCAAGGTAGCAGAGTTGCCACACCTGGATGGCAACGAACAAAAGATAAGATAGTTTAGGGCAGGTATGCTAACCAGGAAGATTCTTTGTGCTGGTGCTTGCATGTTTGGTGGAGCAGTGAGCTCCAAAACTGGAGGGTGTGTGGTCTTTCTAACGTAGGACAGGGTTAGGAAATGCTTCAGCTCCACCTGGACAGCTCAGTGTGCTCAGCCGTGGTCACAGCTGAGGGCTGGTGGGAGTTGGATCCTCTTCAGAGGGAAAGGGGGTGTGGGAATGTTGGGGATGTCCCGTTCCCCTCTTCATGGCTGGTTTCTCCCTGTGCCCAGGGACGGCGTCTGGCTGACCTGTCCAAGCGCCAGGGTCTGCACCACGTCGTGTTCAGTGGCCTGGAGAATGTGCACCAGCTGACGGGGGGCCGGCTGGAGGTGCTGCACTTTGATGGCAAAGGTGTGGTGGAGGAGTACTTCCAGAAAATTGGGGTTCCCACCACCATCGTCCGGCTGCCATTCTACTTTGAGAATTTCCTCTCCATCTTCAAGCCACAGAAGAGACAGGGAGACACCTTTGTGCTGGGTAAGCCGGAGCTCCTGCTGTGGGTCACTGTCCTGTGACTGCCCTCATCTGCTCCCACTGTGCAGGGCCTGAGGGGTGGAGAGGACCCTATTAGCTTGACCACAGCCAGCTGCATTATGGTCTTCAGACCTGTTTGGTGGCCTGCAGGAAATCACCAAGATCCTGGGCCTGTTTGTGGTGCTGAGGGCCGTTCTGCAGATCCCAGAGCAGCCCTGGACACCCCAAGTGCCTGCATTTGGGATGGTGGAGGTGGTGGGGCTGCAGGTGCCTCAGGGTGCTGCTCTGGTGTCAAGGTCTCTTAGCTCAGCCCTGCTCTCCTGCCTTTTGCCATGCTCATGGGTGCTCTCATCCCTCCCTCACCTCATGTCCAGAGACTGGGAGCTGAAAACTCTGCTGTAGCTCCTCAGAGCTGGGCTGCATTCCAGCTGGGATCAATCTCTTCATACAGAGCTGCCCATGGGGGACACCCCAATGGATGGGATGGCTGTGGAGGACCTTGGGCCCATTGTGCTTTGCCTACTGAAGTCCCCAGGGGAGTACATTGGCCAAGTGATAGGACTCAGCACGAGCAAGCTCACTGAGGCAGAGTACGCTGCCATCCTGTCCCAGCAGACCGGCAAGACTGTGACAGCCAGCAAGGTAGGAAGCGTCCCTTGGTGTAGGTGATGTTCCTGAGGGACTCAGCTGGTTTTGGTACAGCCCAGCACTGGTGTCCAGGGTTAGTCCTGCTTCCCCTGGGTGTGGCTGGGGCACAGCTTGGCACCGACACTGCCCTGTGGGTATTGTCACTGCTCTCACGTTTGTGGAGCACACAGATGTGCCCAGGCAGGTCTGTGCCTGGCTCCGAGGCACAACTGAGCTGAGAGGTCTCCAGAGGAGCCAGGGATGGGCACCTTCACAAAAGATCTCTGCTGGGTGCCTTTCCCTTCAGCAGGGCTTGCCCCGGGGCTTTGCTGTGTCACCATTACAACATATCTGGCCTCTGTGCTGTGTCATTGTTAACAACGCCCCTGACCACTCCCTGCCCCTTCGTGACTTATTTTTAATTTTTGTTTGCATTTCAGTTGTGCCTCAGGCAGCCAATACAATAGATTAGGGGTGTGGTGTTCCTTGCTTTGAGAATAAAGTGCATTTCACTAGAAACCAAGCCCCTCTGATGCTCTCTGCAGGTTCTGCTCTCCCAGAAGCAGTGAACCAAATCCTTTGATTCACGCAGGGAAGGATGTTTTGGGGTGCCAAGTGGCAACCTGAATTGCCTCCTGGACCACCCCGTTTCTAGAACCCCTCAGCCACAGCTCTGGTGTGAGGAAGGGCTCCCTCATAGCTGCTCCAGACCCTGGCCAGCTGTGCCAGACCTGGGTGCTGGCCCTAGACAGGCTGGGCTGTTCCTGCCAGGCAGGGCTGCATCCTATGCCCAACCCCAGAAGTGCCTTGCAGAGCTCTCTGCACGAGTGACAATGCTGCAACAGGCTGCTCTAACAGAGCCAGCCCTCGTCACATCCCCCCACGGGCTGAGGGGAAGCCCCAGCAGCTCTGAAAGAGTTTTTTTCCCCATTTGTGTTGGCAGATCACCCCTGAGGAGTACGAGAAGCGGGACTTCCCTGGGGCCAAGGAGCTGGCTGCCATGTTCCGTTTCTATGCCCTGAAGCCAGACCGCAACGTGGCCCTGACCATGAAGCTCAACCCCAAGGCCCGCACCTTCCAGCAGTGGGTGGGGGACAACAAGAATGCCTTCTAAGCCTCCCCTCCCTCCTCTTCCTCCCTTGTTTCTGCAACTGGTAGGGGCACCTGGCTGAGGAGGTGAGGTGCCCTGAGCCATACTGCCTTCCCAGTAGTGCCCCAGGGAGAGGCTGATCCTGCTTCTGGGCAGAGGATCTCTCTCTGGGGAGAGCTTGGCCCACATGGTGGGCCTGCAGCTGGTTGGGGCTATTTAGGCAGCTAGAACAAGAGGAGAGGCTGTACAGCACAGGCAGAGGGCTGGCAGAAGCAGTGCCTTTGCACTCTATCCTCAGGGAAGGTGTTGCTTTAATCACTGTATTTTAGGGTGGTGGGGGCTTGTTTTCTCAGGATCACCTCCTTTCCCAGGCAGCTCTGAGCATATGGCAGCACGTGGTGGGCTGAAGGTGTGTACCCCAGATATCCATAGCCAGGGCTGCTGCAGGCTCCTAAGCAAACAGAAGACAGGGATTTCTCCATGGATCTGGTTTGGGTACTGCAGCTGAGCCACTGGAGAGATGGTGACTTAGTGTGACCCCAGCAAGCAGGGACTGTAGTGACTTCCTGTGAGTGTAACACAAAAGCTGAGCCTGATTCCTCATCAGACAGCTCTGGCCATGGCCCTTGGGCTCCTGAGCCTAATTTCAGTCACTGTCCCAATGAGCTGAGATAAAACTCTTTCTAGACTGTCCAGGGTTCAGTGGAAAACTCTCAAAAGCTTTGTGTTTAAAGTCAATCCCAGCCCCTAGAAATGCTCAAGCCATGCAATCCTGTCCCCTCCTTGTCCCAGACCTTCATTCCTGTTACTAGGGGAGGGAAAGGAGGTGACAGAGCAGATGGAAGAGTAGACAAGGCAGCAAGGCACAGCACGAGTTAAATATCTTTATGAAGTCCATCTTATTTACATGAGTACAGAATCACTTTACAGAAGTTTAATCAGGAGGCAACGCGTGCTTTATTTCAGCAAATTAAGAAGGGCAAGACTACAGCATGTCCCTGTTTAACTGGTGTTGAACTGATTAGTACTGGGCTGATGGTACCTGCAGGGTATCACAAACACAGCAGGCTACAGTAACCATGGAATACTCACTGAAAGAGCTCAGCTGCGTCTGGAAGGAGTGATCCACCTCACTTGCACTCTCACACAAGTAAAACAACAATGCTTTGACCAATCCTTTATGCTATGGGTGTTGCACTAAAGTAATAAAAAGATTTTTGTCCCCAACTGGCAAAGGGCTCAGTGATCGACTTGGACCAGTCCAGAAGCGACAGCAGTTGTGTGGTAACTTTAGTTATTCGGGGGATAAACTTGAGACAAAGTGCAGATTCCATCACTGCTCTGTGCAGGCAATCAGCAGGACAGAGAAAGCCCAGGGCTGTGAGGGAGCCAGGCCAGCTGGGCTCAGACAATGCCCAGCCACAGGGAGATTCCACTTGGAGCTGTACAGGGCAGCAGGGCTGTCGTGAAGACAAGATTAGACCTCCCTGACTCACCAAATCTCCTGGAGAGTTCACCTGGCATTCCAAAGAGCACCTGAGTGAGCCTCCATACAGCAAATTGCTGCTCTGTGCTGGAATATTTATTTCACATTTCCTCTGGTTTGGATTCTAAATAATACTTCAACTTTTACCATGTAAGCTTCCAGCAGCAGTAAGGTTGTGGAGCAGCCTCCAGGGAGCCACACTTCTGCAAAGTTGGTGTTTTCCTTCACTGCCAGTTCCTAGGACAGTGGGTGGGGTTTGTGTTGGTGCCTTGGTGGTCCATGGCCTCCCCAGCTGGGATTCTTGCTGTGCTGCTGACATCCTGTCCTCTCCAGAGCCTGGTGCCAGAAAGATTCACCCCCAACTGCATGGATGACCTGCTGCTGCTGGCTCCTAGTTCCCAGTAGAACGCTTTCCTGCAGTGGAAGTGAGAGGGAGGTTACAATTCCTGGCTGTATCAGCGCACAGCACACTCTGGGAGCACCTCCCCTCTTGACCTGCCCTCAGCAGGACTCTCAGCCCTGCAGCACAGCCAACTTTGAAGCCTACAAAGATGCAAAGCTGAGCCCCTGGAATCCAAGACTCTGTGTCTGCTGTAGATGGTTCCAAGTCTCAGTGCTCCCTCATAACAGGTCAGCACCAACTGAAGCACCTGAGTTACAATGCAGTGATGCATGGTGGGGTTTGCTGTGCTCTGTGACAAAGGCTGGCTCCTCCCTGGTGCTGTAAACCCATGGCAGGGGTGAATCCAGCCCAAGTGTGCCAGCAGCAGTGGCTCTGCAGCCCAGGATTTGTGTGGCAGAACCCGGTCCCAGTGGGACCAGCTCATGGGAACATGCTCAGTCCTTGAAACTGGACACAGATCCAGCAGCAGAGCTGCAGGGGAGGCCAGCCACCTCCCCAAGGGAGCACCCAGCATCTGTGCTGCTCTTTGCTGAAGCAACAATGCACTTTTATCCCTAGCTTGTTGCTCTAGGTCCCAGGGGACAACTAGGGCTGTGCACACCCGCGGCTGGAAGGCCTGAGGCTAAGTGAGAAACAACGCTGTGCTATTGTGCTTCCACCTCCCAAGAAGTGCTCAGTGTGGGGGAAAGACGACAGTGAAACACAAGAGACCTCCTACCTCAGATGGGGTGTCAGGAGGTAAACATTTTCTTAAGTTTGGAAAGGAATCCCTCCTTGTTCTCCTGAGCCTCAGGCCTATCCCCGCCTGCGTCAGCGCTAGCCGTGGCCCTGCCACCTGGACACAAACAGCAAAGGGCTGCAGTCAGAGACATCTCCCACCAGGACCAGAGGGTGCTTTACACAGGGAATGGCCAGGAGAAAGCAGCTGGTTGTGCTGCTCCCTCACATCCAGGGCTGCACCTGGCAGCGAGCCACAGGACTGGACCCCTTGCAGTGGAAAGCCTGGATCCCAGAAGGGGAAAAGCCAACCATGAGCTGAGGTGCTGAGCTGTTCCCTTCCCCTCTCCCCAGCCCTCCAACTGGCAAGGAAATTCTTGTGTTGCACAACTAAGTCAGGGACTCCACAGGCTTTGGAAACAAGCACTTGGAACTGAGTCTGCCACTAAAAACAAGTAGTGAACTCGATCACAGTCAGCCAGGACTTTACAGGGTCAAAAAATCTATACTGGTGGTCCCTGAAACAAGTTCTTCCTGTTTCAAGGCTGTGTCCTTGCAAAGCAGTGCAAAACCACACCAGGAGCCTGATTTGTGCCATTGCAAGCAATGCTTAGACAGTATCAAGCAGAAAATTAACTTGTGTAGAATGAAAAAGGCTACAAGTATTTCAGACCAACTGTCCAGATAAGGAATGTTAAAATTGTCCTCTATGTCCTGAGAACTTGTTTTTCCCTCAGAAGTGTCTATAACGAGAACAAAGGAGTCCTCTTTGCTAATCTGCTTTTTTTTCCTACAGTAAAATCACCAATAACAAGATCCCAAATGCTCCCTCAAGCTTTCTTTGTGCACAGAGAACACGAGTCAGGCGCTCCCCAGCCTCCCCCGGGCTGAGTGCTGGGCTCGGACTGATGCAATGGAATGAAATCCCGAGGCAGGACACGCCTCCCTCAGCACAGCCTGTCTCTACACTGCAACCTACTGGCATTGTTCTAACCCACACTGCTGCTTCATCATGGTAAAAACTAGCGGGTCTGCTTTTTAAAAAATTACTTTGAAGAATGGAGTTTTTTCTCTTTGGCACATAAATGCCTTTAAAAAGCTGGAATGGAAATTCAGTGCTCAGAGCTCTCTGCCCTTCCCCCAAGGCTGACTGTAATATGGGAAAGACAATTTCTGTGTTTGGAAAGCACTATAAAACAGCACTGGGTAGTATCTGGTAGATCCTGCACTTAAGCCCATATTCCTCACACTTTGGCATGTAGTAGAGCAGATCCTGGGATCATGCAGCAGCTCCGAAAGGCTCTCACCTTTGCCTAGTCAGAAACATCCTGTTGGATTTCAAACCAAAACTAAAATCCAACGGCCTTTAAGAAGTTCATTGTGCCAATTAAGCAAAGAAAAAACTGCTTTCCAGCAGCAAGAGACGAAGCTCCTTCCTTACTATTTTACCATGTATTGTGCCTTTAGCTGCTGCCTCTTCCAAGCACCTCATCCTTGACACTTAGAACACAATTGCTGAATCTCAGTTTTCCATCTGGAGCTGGAGAGCAGCTTCACAAAGCTCCCAGCTGCCTTCACTTCTCCATGGCACTGGACACTGTCCACTGACCAGAGCTGACACTGGCACCAATGGACACTCCTAGCCCAGGTTTCCCCACACACATAGAGCTTAGCCCCAGCAGAAACTCCCATCAGCATTCCAGGAGAAACAGCCCTGCTGTGCTCAGAAGCACACTGGATTGGGATCACACAGGGAATTGGCCTGAGGCACATTTGCACCTCAAGGCAAGTCCTGGCCCAGGGGAAGCAGGGAGCAGCAGGGAGACATTCATCAGCTTGTCTGGACCCTGGAGCACTCAGTGCCTGCTCTCTGCTCACACACGGATTTGCCCATTAAGTACTGGAATAAGCTTCCTGGGAAGAGGCTGCCTCCCTGCTGTGTGCTCCAGCCTGTTAATACCACACTAGAACTATTTCTGTTATACCAGGCTGTGCTGCCACAGGCCTCACGGTGACCCTGGCTCACCTTGCTCCCCAGGAATGCTCGGGGAGCTCTCTGCACTCGCAGGGAAGGGCAGGAGCTCCCCCTGCTCACCTGACGCTGTGTTGGTGACCCCGTTCACCGTGCCGTCCACGTCAGCCTCGTCCTCGGCGTAGCTCATCATCAAGGCTCGCTGGCGATCCGTCAGCCTCCTGTGGCACCAGGACACGGGCTCAGGGATGGCCCGGGGACAGGGTGCCACAGCCCTCCCAAACCTCCCCCAGCAGCACCCACGAGGGGCAGGGATAGCAGTACGTTGTGTAGGAATACACCAGGAATCCATGGATTCTTTAAATGAGCCATCTATAAGAAATTATCTATAAGGAATGATCTATAAGGAATTCTCAGTGGGAGAGGAGACTGCATTTTACCTCATGGAATTTTCACAGCTTCTAAACAACATTTTTTGCAAAAGGTTTTTAAGGTTTTTGTTTTAGCTCTACTTACTGAGGAACTTTTATCTTTATGTGGATGTAGTGGTCTCCATAGCCATAGCTGTTGACCTTGGGAATGCCTTTCCCACTCATTCGAATTCTCTGGTCTGGCTGAATACCAGGGGGTATCTGTAAACACACAGGTGTCATATTACCCTAATTAAACATTTATATAATAATTACACATCTATAAAAATTATCTGCTTCTCCAACAAGCTCTAGGATGCGAGAGCTCTGGTATGCTCATGCATTGGGACACATCCCAACTAAGCCAGGAATGACAGAAAAGCTTTTGAAGGAGTAAGTAAAGAACCTGACACAGCCTGTAGCCCTCAGATGGGGCTTGTCCAGCAACCCCTTTCTTTCCCTCTCCCTACACAGCAACAGAAAAGAAGCTGTGACCAAGCAGATCACAAACTACCCAAGGCTCAATCCTGAAGGACTCTGAAATGCAATACAGGCAGAATTAGGAGATTTTCCCCACCTTTGCTGTGCCCCACTGATTCATGTCCAGTATACTGGTACTCACTGTGATGTTGATTGTCTCATACAAGCCTTGACACCGGGCTGTGCCTCCCAGCACGGCCTGAGCTATTGAGATCAGGAGATCCGAGTGGATATCGGCTCCATTTCGTCGGAACACAGAGCTCTTCTGAACCTGGAGGGCAGGAAAGTTCCAAACTGCAGTGAGCACACCGTGTTCTCCTGGTAAACTGCTCCCAAGGGTCTCAGCAAAAAAATATGCCATCCCCAAACTGCTTGGCTAAGAACTGTGAGTTAGTATTTGGTTTTCTAGTAAAACACAGATCTTAACATAACTGAATGAGCCAAAGGATTGGAAGGATCCCTGCTTCCTGCCCCAGGAACTCCCTCCCCTAATCCTGCTGTTTATCCCTGTCACTATGGTTCTGTAGAGACAGACACTGCCTTGTCCAGCACCCTGAACAGGGGAAAGCCAAAAGTGACAAGGAGATGAAGCACCTTTGCAGTAGCCTCATAAGCTGGAAGAGACTTAAATCCTCCTGCACCATGAAAGATGTGCTGAAAAAAATATTCTCCTCAACAGGGATGTGTGGGACAGGATTCTGACAGGAGGCTCAGCTACAGCACAGGTACAAAGCAGCCCTGAATGTGGATCTGCAGATCACCAGGCACGCACCTCTGGCACCTCCCACAGCTCTGCCACCCCTGCCAGCAGGCAGCTCCCTCCCATTTCCAAGTCAAAAACTCGAGGCATGAAGAACCTACTCTGCATTTTGATTCACACTATGCTGAGGGCCTGGTCCTGGAACAAGGCACGATTCTTCAAGAACAAATTCAAAGTTACCCCCCTTGCTACAATGCAGATCTCCTGCTGTCTCACAAAGTTCACAGGGATCATGTTACCTCAGCTGTTCCAAAGGATCACTGGCTCTTCCTGCTCTGCCCATTTTTCAGTCCTTTCCCAGGGAGTTGAGAAGGGAACAACCAACTTAAATAACAAACCAGGCTTGGGATACATACCCTGAATGTAATGAAAATTTCTTTCTTCCCCACAGGCATCCGAACTGTCTGCCCATCCTCAACACCTGCAATCAGAACAGGAGGGAATGTGACCTTGGGTTATAATCCACATGTGACATGGATACCTACAACTCTTGCCAATCCCAAGAGGTGACCACCACAGTCCAAAGGAGGAGGGGTCAGCACATTTTTATACCTCTGAGGTGATCCCCTATGCCCCCAACATGCTTGTTACTTCAATAACTGCAGAATTCTTTACAGAAATGCACTGAATTAAGGAACACAGCAGCCTCCACAAGCTGCAGGAAAATTACGGCTGCTCTCCCAGGGTGGTCTCAAAGAAGCAAGTCTTAGTCCCACCACTGAATTCTTCTCTCCGGTGAGGAAGGCCATCAGCACACCCCTCTGAGCCAAGCCAAGGCTTTCAGGATTCCCACCCTCTCCCCAATCTTCATCAAGGACAAATTAAAGACCCATGGAAACAAAACCTTTGGAGATTCACTCTTCAAAACCTGCCTAGGAAGACACAGGCAAGAACCAAAGCTCATGAAGGGCAAAGCAAACATTTATAACCATGGCCAGAAGGTCCATCCCATCACTAGTCCGTTCCATTGCCAAGCTCTCAACCTGCTTTGCTTTAAAGACATTTCTCTGCAGTAAAAGGTCTTACACTGCCCCCCTATTTGTACCTGGCAGTAAATAACTACATTTCTTTAAGAGAAAGCAGCAGACAGGTACAACACTGACCAGCTGGCACAGGAACCATCACTGTCTTCTTCTGCTTGGTCTGCCCCGTGCCCCGGCACACGACGCAGGGCGTGGTGATGATGGAGCCGCGGCCGCCGCAGCGCCGGCACGTGGAGCGCATCACGAACGGGCCCGTGTTGATGGTCTCCTGGGGGGCAACAAACACACAGTGGGCAAATCGTGAGTACTGACAAGGGACTTTTCACACAGCATGTTTGAGCTCTGATCACAGCCTGTCAGGACAGAGATATCCTTCAGCAAGGGCTGGAGCAGAAAGCTGGCTCTGAACTGCGCTCACCATTGCATTCTGATTTGCACTAAACACCACCACAACTATGAGCAAGTGTCATGTGGTAAGGGCAAGGGAAACACACCACCCTCAATGTCAAGGTTGTACTGTACAAGAAGGAACAAAGCTCCTTACAGTGCTACAAACATCTGTGTTCTGATGAATCCAAGGACAATCCATTTACATGAATTACTGCCAGTGTCCAAGAAAACCTTATGGTGACTAAACTCTAGACTGAACCACTGAAGCATACAAGGAATCAGATGCATGGAAACCCAAAGCCTGCAGCTCCATCATTACCTGCATGTTCTTATTTAATTATTACCCTTGGGTTTTCACCACCTTCCTCCACTCCCCAAGTCAAAAGATATCCATTTATTGCCCGAGGAATTTCAGGGCTGTTACATTATATTCATATGGTTTATGGGATGTGTAATAGCAGAGGATCCAGTCTGAAGGCTCATGCTTTCAGCTGGGCACAGCACTTTTACACAAAGAAAATCTTCCTAGTGCCTATTAGCATGAAGCTGCCGTTAACCCAGCTTTAACTGAGATAAGCTGATGAGTGTGGTGAGAATTTTTCACCATGGAATGAAGTGACTCTCCTCGAGAAGGGAAAGCAGAGCAGAACTGGTGTCGTGCTCAGCACTTACCATGCCCGTGCCATTGCAGTAGTGACAGCGCTGAGCTTTGGTGCCAGGTTCGTGTCCTTTGCCATCACAGCGCACACAGGAGTCCTGGATGTTCACCACAATCTCCTTGTTAACACCTTTTGCAGCTTGGGTGAATGTCAGTTCCATGATATACTGCACAGGAAACATGGATATAGATCCATCACTGAGGTGTGACAGGGTCTTAAGAAGACTGAGAAGAGCTTAGGCTAAATACCAAACAGTGCTTAAAATAGAAATCATCAGTAAAGATAACTGATCAAAAGAGGAAATTCTCCTTGTATGAAAAAAGTCATTTTTAGTAAAACCAGGAGTACCAAACGCTTCTGAAGACAACACATGAACCATCAACACTTAAAGGAGCATTTAGCTGCAGCACGAAGAACAAGACAGATTTTATTATGGGCCTCACTGCAACGTGAAGCTAATTAAGTTGCAAAATTAAGCAAATTAAGCAGCCAAACATATTGCTGGAAGGCCTGGTTTATAGTTCCAAGGTATTTTGTGGGTTTTAGCATTACAGATCAAAGCAAGCATACATAAATCTACTTGCAGCAGAAACGATGCCTCTCCAGTGATGGAACTGCTGCAGTACTGGATGGTGTCAGTAAACACCAGAGAAGTAGCTCAAGCCCAGAAAAAATATCCTGTCTGGAGGTGTGGGTGTGTTTCTGCACAGCTTAGCAGAACTATGACACTCTCCCCATGCCATGGGACACTCACACACTGACATTCCCAGAAATAACTCCTTGCTGAAGCTCCCAGAGCGCTCTGTGAGAGAAGCTGGGGAGAGAAGCTGGTATGAATTTCCCATTTCACTTCCAAATAAAGGCACCTCTTACCTCCTGTGGCTGGTCAAAGACAGTCTGAAAATCGCCAAAAGGGGATCCTGAGAACTCCCCAAAGATCTTCCTGAAGAGCTCCTCGGGGTCGATGGAGGGGCCGCTGCTCCAGTACTGCCGCCCCGCGCCAGCCCCGGCCCCGGCCGCGCCGGCCTCGAAGCTCGCTGTGCCGTAGGCATCGTACTGCTTCCTCTTCACCTCGTCACTCAGCACCTGGGGCAAGCAAGGGGGCCATCAGGGCACTGCAGGATTCAGGAGCATCCCTGGATCTCAGGTCTCAGACCTTCCATCGAGGTCTCGCCCAGCTCTCAGCACCACAGGAATTAGGGACAAGCTGCTGCTTCCCTGGTGTCTCTTGGTTCATCACCAGAAAAATGACAAGGCCTTACTAATTTATGAAAAGCAGGAAATAACTTATATTAAGCAGCTGATAATTTTTGTATCAGCTGAAGAGTGCTAAAATCAAAAAACAGTGCTGGGGGAGCACAGTGAAAGTCCCCCTGTCTCAAACCTCTGCTGACATGTTTTTTATTCATTATTTAAACTGACAGTAATTCCATGGAAGTCATATCCATGCCAGTCACTGCTAAGGAAGGGGAACACTGAAAGAGCCCAGAGCAGCTAAATCAGATACTTGGACTAAGTAGTTACTTGGGACAGAGGTGCTTCAGATTGAAGTGCATCAAAAACCAGCCATGGTTTTACAAGAAATGTTTCCCCTCATCTACCTCTAATCTTTCCTCCTCATCACAACAAAATCCTGTTATTACCTCATAGGCTTCTGCCAGCTGAGAGAACTTCTCCTTCGCTTTAGGGTCGTCCTTGTTTGTGTCAGGGTGGTATTTCTTTGCCAACTAAAAAACAAAAACCAACTATTAGGGTCCGGCAGGAGTTATTTATTTTACCATATCTCACATTCCAGGAAAAACGCATCAGGCAGAGCCTGGCATTCACTAGATACATTCCCGGGAACTAACACTCTTCATTTTCCTGTATCAACCCAAAACAAGGAATTACAGGAGCTGATCCTGATTTTCTCAACAAGCCTAGATCCTTCTGGAAGGAGACAAGTGATGACAGCACAGGCAGACCATGCTTTTGGAAGCGATCCCCAAGGCCATGCGCTGAGCTTTCCCACTGCCTCCTCCCCTTGTCTTCAGCGGCTCCAAAGAGGGAATGGGTTTGTTCCCTGCCCCGCCGAAGGGGCAGCCCTGGCTGCTCTCGCTGCCCCCGGGGCCCGGCCCGGCGGTCCCGACGCACCTGGTAATAGGCCTTCTTGATCTCCTTCTGCGTGGCGGTGCGGGGCACCCCCAGCACCTGGTAATAGTCCTCCTTGGCGTGGGCCGCGCTGCTGTGGAAGGCGGCGGCGGCGGCGGCGGCAGCGCGTTTCGTCCCTGCGGGAGAGGAGCAGAGGGGCCGCCGTGAGGGCCGGGCCGGCGGGGCGCGGGTCTTTTCCCCCGGCCGTGCCCCTTCCTCCGCCCGGCCCGGCCTGCCCAGCCCCGGCGCCCTCACCCGCGGCGCAGAGCCCGGCGCGGAGCAGCAGGAGGCGGCGCGGGGCGCGGGCGGGCGGGACACGGAGCCCGCGGAGCAGCAGTAGCAGCGGCGGCCGCGCGTTCCCCGACCCGCGTCCCGCGGCCGCCCCGACCCAGCGCGACGCGCTCCCGGCCGCCATCTTGGCCCGCGCGCGGCGCTGCGCCTGCGCACCTCACGGCGGGGACGGGCCGCGCATGCGCACGGCGCCGCGGCCGTGATTGCGTCATGCTTGCGCATGCACGGAGGTCGGCGGGGCGGAGCAGCAGAGGACGTGGGGCTGCTGCGGGTCCCGGGGGCACCGGGCAGGGAACGCGGGGGGATACGGCTGCGGACAGCCGGGCACTGCCTCCTGCGGTACCCTCGTGCAGCGAGGCTGGGCGGCCGGGGCTGGGGACCCTGCCCTCTGCTCTGTCTGCGCTCTTCCAGGGCTGCTGCTCTTCTCTCCTAGCAGGTGAAATATCTGACAGAAAGGGAAATAAAGGCTCTGAAACCACAGCGCGTGCAGTGACACAGCGCCCACACTCACAGAGCACAGCAGCCTAGCACGGCACCCACAGCGAGGCAGCAGCTTTCCTCTGGAGAAGAGGAGGATGATTCGTGCCAAGCGTGTCTCTCTCCCGCCCTCGTCACCGGGGCTGGCGCCTCCGAGCGCTCCTCAGCAGAGGCTCGGGCCTGCGGCGCGGGGGAGGCTCCGCCGAGCTGAGCGGCGGCCGGGACATGCCAGCCCCTGCTGCGCACACACCACTGTCACAGCCCGGGTGAAAGCAGGGCACGAGGCATGGCCTCCAGCGGGCGTGGGTGACGGCACAGCCGGGCCCCGAGGGCTCAGTGGGCTCAGATCCAGCGCTCTCTCCTCCTCCTCCCTTCCCCGCAGCCCTGAGTACACAAAGGTCTCTGTTCACCGCCGGCTGCCAGGCCGTGGAGGGGGCGAGCACGCCGAACCCATGGCACTGGAAACCTCCCGCTGTCCCCATCCTCCTGGCCGAGAGCCCGACGGAACCGCTGCCCTTGTGTGGCAGGAGAGCTGGGTGACAGCCGGGGATCACAGCACGGGGTGACAACGAACCTCTGGGGGAGGCAAGGAAGGGGCCGGGATCTCCAGGAGCGCCGGGCAGTCACCCCAGGGGTGGCTCCGATGCCGGGATTGGAGGCTCTGACAGGGCTCCGAGGAGCCGGGGCTGGGGGTCTGTGCTCCGCTCACGGTGACAGCGGGGACACAGCACACACGGGCCACGCGTGGGGCGGGAGCCGGCGGGGCTGGCCCAGGGGCGGGGCTCAGGGCGGGGCTCAGGGCGGGGCCCCGGGGCGGGCGGAGCGACGGGGCCGGGCCGGGCCGGGCCGGGTTGGGCACGGCTTGGTACGGTACGGTACAACCGGAGCGCCATGAACCGCTTCAAGGCGTCCAAGTTCCGGCACACCGAGGCCCGGCTGCCCCGCAGGGAGGTGAGCGCCGCGGCACCCGCCAGTACCGGGGGATCGCGGGGGCGGCGGGGCCGGGGCTGCCGGCGGGCAGGGACCGGGACAGGCACGGGCACAGGGCAGGACCAGCCCCGCCCCGCGGCACCGGCAGGACGCGGCTCCGGGCTCCGCAGCTGTGGCATCGCCGGTGTGGTGGGGCCGTGCCCGGGTCCCCCGGCCGCGGTGCGGGTGCGTCGCCCGGGCGGCCCCTCCTTGGCACCCGCTGCTGCCCATCCCGGGCTCCGCGGAGGATCCCGGCCCCGGGGCGCTCCGCAGGTGGGGCTGGTGGGGAACCCCTGCCCTCCCCTGGGCCGGTGCAGTCCCCTCGGCCGGCAGCGGCTGGCCTGGGGTACCGTCCCTTGGTGGCTGCTCCCAGCCTTCCACTGGGCACGGCTGGCACAGGCGGTGCATCCCCGGTTCTTGCTGCCCGCTGCCGCTCGGTATCTCACCCTCCTGGCCTGTGCCAGCCAAGGAACTGAGCGTGAAATGCTGGGCCTCGCTCCTGCCACCCCGCTCTGCCACCCCGCTTCCGCAGGCACGGAGGAAGTGCTGGGCCCCACGGGTGCTGCTGAGCTCCATCACCCTGGCCATGAGCTGTGGAGCTCAGCACCGCTGGGGCCAGGCAGCTCTGGGGTGTTACTGGGCAGCACAGATCCATGTGGTGCTCCATGAATAACCAGCCCAATCATGCCAAGCATTACAATCCAGCCTGGTACGGTGTTGGCAGTGGGTAGCCCTGCCCTGCTGTCCTCCAAACCACAGATCTGGGTCAGGGCAATCTCCCAGGTGCTTGTCCCTACAGATTTGGTAGGGCAGGGGCAGAGATGCAGGGTCAGGGCTGAGTGAGTCAGATCAGGGAGCGCTACCAGGACACACAGCCCTTCTGGGGGCTCCCCGAGCTGGGCACTCTTCACCCAGTACCTCCTCAGCACCATGAGTGAGGCTGCTGCTGCTCCCAGCCCTTGGGTGTGCACACACTCCTTCTCTGTAACTTCCCAGCCGAGTCCTTGCACCCGGCCAGCATGGCCTGTGCTCACACGCCTCTGCAAATCCAGCAAGCACCCAAAACATCCTCTGAGCTTCAGCTGTGGGAGGGAACACGGTGCCCCCATGCCCATGGCGTGCCAGCCTCGATGTGTCTGCGGAGCAGGTGTCAGGTCACCGAAATCTCAGCTGGATGAAAGTTTGGCTGTGAATCCCAGCGTTCAGATGAGTCACTGGCAGCGGGGAGTGTGCATGCCTATGGGGTGTGGGTGCTGGGACACCTGGCTGTGCAGGACATGGCATCCTCTTGGCAGGGACATCCCATCACCGCTGCCCTGGTGGTGGTTCCATGGTGGGGACAGCGTGCTCTCCCTGTGTGCAGGGAGGGATCAGCTGTGCAAAGTGGCCTTCCCAAAAGGCTTTTCCCATTCAGGCATGAAACGTATCCTTGGAAGTGAGGCCACGCACTCCCCATAGGACAGGAGGTGGAGAAGAAAGTCTTGTCACCAAACCCATCTCAGGTGTCACAGCGGGAAGCCCTGTTCTGTCCCTCCTGTTTATGGAGGCACAAGCAGACACCCGACCTGGCTGGATCAGGAAGCACAATGTAAACATCAGGGATCACATCTGAGTCTTCTCTTCAAGCAGCATCTGCAGGGCTCTGCTGGCAGATGGCCCTTGAAAGCTCACAGTTTGTTCTAGGGATGAAGCCAGGACGGTTTCGTGTGCTTTCCTGACCGTGCTGGCACGCTGCAGGATCACTCCCTTGAGGGCTGCTGCCCTCCTGTATGGGGAAATTGTGGGATCAGGATGGAGCAGCTCTGTGAAACCTCACTGCAGGGGTCCTGCGTGGCACCCCTGGGTGCTGGGGGCCAGTTGTGACTGGTGTCCCCCTCACGGAGGGCCCAGTGCAGGGTGATGGGATGCAGACAGTGGGGCCCTTATTCCAGGGTCCTGCTCATGCTCCCGACCTGTTCCCCATCCCCACTGCAACCCCCTGCCTACCTGCTGGGTGTGGGGACAGGAACCTGCCTTTGGCAGGCGAAGGGTTAACAGGTCTGCACCGAGCTGTGAGGGGAGGAAGTGCTGCAGGAACCACTGCTCCCTGTCAGGCCTCCAACGGAAGTTGTGCAAGGAGACGAAACCTGGGGCTCGGGGTTTCCCTTCCCTACCTGGGTATCTGCCCAGTTTGTGGGGTGTTCACTGCCCTGGACACCTGCTGCAGCTCTGGGAGCTGCTGTGGGCACACTGGCCTGGTGCCAACCATAAAACACCTGTCAAGGGTTGGACTTGGCCCTGGGTGTGCCAGGGAGCTCGTGGCCCTGGTGGCCACTTGACGTGGGGTGTCTGTGTCGCCTGGAGTGGGTCTGGCTGATGGAGGGTGTCCCAGGGCCCCACAAGCTCAGCCCTGGGAAACACTGCAGAGTGGGACTTTGCTTTTGGAGCTGTAATGCAGCTCCTTGGCTGTGTGTCTATGTGGGAAGCGTGCTGCTGGAGGTGTTTATTGGCCTCGGTCAGCCACAGCTTGACCCTGTGGTGCTTCACAGCCCGAGAGCTTTTGTCCCATCCAGATTTTCTGGCACCAGTTTAGTGCAAAGACCTCTGAACACTTTGCACAGTCGGACTGCCCAGAGATGGACCAGTCGGGGAGAGGCAGCACTGGGAACTGGGATGCTCCTTTGTCCCACCCTTCAGCCCCAGTGAGGGGCTGTGCTTTGTGACAGGACCCTGAGCAGCCACACTGCCCTGGGACACCCCGGAGGATGGGATAATCCCATTGTGGTGTCAGCAGTCTCCAGCTCTCCATCAGCATGGGAGCTCCTCTGGGGTTGAGGATCTCGGGCCATGCTGTGCCAATGACCATGCTCCAGGCCCTGCCATAACAAGGCAGCCCTTGACATGGTTTTTCCCTCTCCATCCCAGGCCTGGATCAGTGGTATCCGAGCAGGCTCCATCACATCCTGTGGGAACCACGTGAAGGCCAGCTGCCGCTGGATCGCCTTCAACGCCGAGGCGGCCGGTGAGGCACAAGGGTCCCCAGCACTGCTTGGGGAGTGGGATGGATTTGTCCCAGGGATCCCTGTGAGGCTGGGTGGTGGGTCAGTCCCCCAGACCCCAGAGGCACCAGGGTGAGTGGAGGAGGCTTTCCCTGAGATCCCCCGAAAGTGCTGACAGTCCCACAGCCCTTGGCTTGCATTGCAAAGCTGGGTGCCAGTTGTGTGTCCCGGGCTGGGGGGATTCCTGACCTGCTCCTGTGCCCTCTCCTGCAGGTGTGCTGGGCATTGTGCCACTGGAGTGCGAGGATGGGGGCAAGAGGACCATATCTCAGCTCTGCTGCCACTCAGGTGGGTGTCAGGTGCCACCTCCCACCTCCACAGGACGTGTTTGGTCCTGTGTGGGCTGTGTGGGGGGCTCAGGTGCTGAATCCAAGCCTGGCAGGCCATGGTGGGCTGTCTGCCAGGCAAGGGATGTGGGGACTTGCCAGGGACCATCACCCATCGACAGGGTGACACCAGGAGGGGCTCTGCCAGCCTGAAATCAATCCTTGTCCCTTCATCTCTCAGCTGCAGTGAGGCCTGAACATGTAGCTCTTCCTCACAGCCTTCTAGCACAGCCTTTCCACATTACTCATAGCACACCCTGAAATTCCCAGTGCCAGGCTGGAGCTGGCATCACCAAGGCATCACTGGCTCCAGT